ATTGTACGAAAAAAAAAAACTCTTCTTAATTAAAAAAAAAGAAACCAAAGAAAACATAGTCTCCACTAGAAAATTTTTGGGTCTTACATATATTTTCAGTTGAAACATAGAAAAACAATGTAAAATTAAATGGCTTTTAGATTCTAGAATTGATTCTACCATAGAGATAGTTGCACATCCACGTCTATCAACAAATAAGTAAATAATGAAGATATAGTACATATATACAATGGAATTTTGTTCAGCCATAAATAAAAATGAAATTATGAAGTTTGAAGAACAGATAAATGCTGCATTTCCCCTCTCATATGTAGATTCTAGCTTCTAAATTTTAAATATTTTAATTGAGTGGGAGAAAGTATGGATGGAAACCAGGAATCTAGAAATGAACCCTAAGGATGGGGGAAAAGAGGTTTTAAAAGAGGTAACTGGGGATGACCGAAGGATGCCTGAGGCATGACAAGAGAAAGTGGAATAATGGAGGCTGTAGCTGGTAACGGAGGGAAGGAAGATGGGGAACTGGATCTGAACGACATGTGTGAAGATTTTCATCATTTCTGTAATACTGTATTCAGTATTTGCATTGTATTAAAGCCAGGAGCTTTTCTATGTCCTTCCTGCCAGTTCCCAATCCCACGCCACTTGTAAATAATCACTCAGAGGTTTAATATTAATTACAAACTGGTCTATGGCTCAGGCTTCTTGCTAGCTAGCTCTTTCATCTTAAATTAACCCATTTCTATTAATCTACATTTTTCTACGGGGGCTTCGTGGCGTTACCTGTGTTACATCTCATTCTCCCAGCAGTGTCCAGCATCTCCTCTGACTCTGCCTTCCTTCTGCCTGTATCTTTGCTTCGATTTCCCACCTGGCTCTATTCTGCCTTGCCATAGGCCACAGCAGATTCTTTATTAACCAATGGTAGCAACACATATTCACAGTGTAGAAAAAGACCATCCCACAGCAGTATTAGATATATAACATTGTATTACATACTTTAAAAATTACATATGTATTACATACATAAAAGAAAAAATTAAAAAGCAATCTGGAAAAATCAGTAGCTTTTACATGTACTGAGAAAACAAACTTGCTGGGGAGGAACTTAGGAACCTATCATTCTGATGTCTTTAAATATAACAAAACATGCAAGGACAAACCTAGCCAACGAACTGAAACACATCTCTACAAAAAAAAAATATAAGACACCTGTAAAAGAATTTGAAGAAAATCCTCCATGATGAAAAAGACTTCTGTGGTCCTGAATTGGCAGAACCAAGACAGGGAAAATCGGTATACTATCAAAGGTACTGTATTGAATTAATACAATCCCCATCAAATTTCCAATCACATTCCTCATAGGATCAGAAAAGAAATCCTAAAATTAATATGGAAGCATAGAGCGCCTCTGACAGCCAAAGCAATCCCTGAGCAGAAAGCACAGACAGAGGAATCACATCACCAGACCTTGAACTACTAAGGATCTAGTGACAAGGACAGCAGCACACTGATTCCCACGGGTGGATTTACAATCAAACGCTTGTGCTGGATCTAACTGCATCTGCCTAAAAGAAAAGTGAAATAGCATGTATTGAAAAAAGTTATGCACACTGAGTAATGCTAAGACATTATTTTAAATAGTTGAACAGAGTCAATATTTTATAAAGAAAATATTGAAACTGAAATGTAACACAATATAATATGTATATGGAAATGTGTGTATATATTTATGTGAATATGCTTCTGTATATGGATGTACATGAATAATTGGGATGTGTATATATGCATGTATACATGAATAGGAGTGTGCAATAATAATAATATGTATTATGTATACAGGGATGTGAATATGTGTTGTATACGTGGGTGTGCATAATTGTGTGTGTTTATCAGTAGATATGAGTGCTGTTTGAATTCCTATCTGTGGTTGATCACTTGGTTGGCTTCCAGCTGATGTAGGAAGCTTTTCTAAAGATCATTTGGAAAAGCTTTGACATTTTCTTTTGTATACAAGTGGCCAACGTCTATAGTTCTCTCCTTGATTCCTATACCAAACAATGACAATATTGTATTTAAGGTTGCAGCAGAATTCTCAATAAAAAATAGTCAAACAAAAAAAGTCAACATGCTAAAGTCAACATGGTGAGATAGACAATCAGAAGGCAGGATCTGGCACCTTGAAGCAGCTGAAGATGTGCCTGCAGCTACCCTCCCTGAAGCTCCTGCTTTGAGTCTCATCTGACAGATTGCCTCTTACCTGTAGTCACAACATTCCAAACTACATGTTTACTACTTGTCACAGCTCTATCTGTAACTTTATGATTGAATCGTAGGCTCAGCAACACTGCTAAATTCAGGCAGTATTTTGAGTTTAGCACAGAGCAATACATGTTGTATTTGATTGGCATTTGAATGGTAATGACCCTAATTTATACTGGAAATATATCTTAATAGCCTCAAAACCTTGTGCTATTTCCAGATATAAGAACTTACAAGTAAATTTCCAATGGGTGGCATCTAAATGACATTTGTAAACCAATTTATCAGTCTCTTTGCTACAAATCTAAACATTTGTTATTACCGAATGAAAAAGCATTCCACTAAAGAAATCACTCTTGAGCTAGGCATGGTGGTACATGCCTTATAATCCGAACTTGATATTGTACGACTTGATGATCATGAGTTCAAGGCCATTTCACCTACATATCATGACTTTGTCTCAAAACCAAAAACAAAAAAATAGCAACACCCAGCCCCCCAAATACCCTGGGGCTATTTTAACCTTAATAATCATAAATAGTTTCTATATGTTTCTGTGTTAAACTGAGTATCAAACAGCCTTAGAAAATTCCAACTGGCAGTTTACAAATTAGTGCAAGATCTTTACTGACTATATTAATAAGAAAAGCCTGAAGTCTTAATAAGCAAAGTAAGATTAAATCTATGGTTCTCCTGAACTCCTTTCATTATGTGGGTATGCACTGGTCAAATATGCTAAAGAACAGAGTCAATGGATGAATACATAAATAGCAATACCTAAGTTACACCCGAGAGGTTGAGAACCTGGTAATTTCTCAATTCTTGAGACTGAGGGTCTCAACAGATAGAATAGACCCACAGTAGCTGTCTCACTGGAATGGCTGATAACCAACTAATTCCTCAGTTTACAAGGCAGAGGCTCTCAGCTCAACATGACGCTGCAAACAAGGGAGGTTCCTGGAAAGCTACTTGCTCTTAATCCAGATGGAATCCTGGAAATGCTGGTTTTGATGTCAGGGAATCAGCAACAGAGCTACAACTTGGTAGCAAGAGGGAAGGATAGGTCTGCAAATGTGGGGTGGGTGATTTTCCTTATGCTATAGTGATTTATTTATTTGTTTGTTTATCTTACTTTTTATTTTAACTAGAAGATGCTGTCCACAGTTCTGGGGGCTTTCTGCATCAATTACAACAGACAGGGTGGTTCTTCAGGTGAGGATCCCTATTAGATGACCTTAATTTGTGGCCACTTAATATAGAAACCAACCATGATTATGGGTGGGGTTTTTTTGTTTGTTTTTGTTTTTTATTTGTTTGTTTTTTCAGCTATAAGAGAGAAAGCAGCAGCGTCCTCCATTGCCTACCCTGCTTTATCTGTCCAAGCAGCTCCTCCTTACTGTAAATCTTCCATGTACCTGGCCAACAGGGATACAACCAGGAAAGTCAAGTGGTTCACAAGCTTTCTGGTTACCTTCCGATTATGACATGAGATATAAAAGGGGTTTTAATATAAAATTTCTCTTCTGAATTTTTGTTTTTATTTTCTGGCAAAGTTTACAGATGGCTAAACCAAAAATAATATTAAATGACTTAAATTTTAGGTCTCAAATCCTTTTTCTTCTTAATTATACTCCTTGGAAAGGGAGACCCTAATGAGACTCAAAAGCATAGAGAGCATAACTGCACATCGTTTCATAACATATTGCATTAAAAATCATCATGACTTCCACAAGAAACCATTATGTTTCCTCTTCATCCTGGAGACATGAGCTAGAAAGAATAATATGTAGTTCCTTAACCTATTTGAGACACACTGAAAATCATTGTTTATGGTTTTTAAATTACCAGTAGTTGAAACTGTCTCAACAGATATCTTCAAAGATTGAGCTCATATAAAAGCAATGATTTATGTTTCTTCCATGAGGAAGCTCCAACATAATTCATTTACTACCTGAAGTATTTCATGGACAAGCAAATGTCTATTCCTTCAGTGATTGTCAGGGCAATAACAACCAGATATAACATTTGGAGAACAGGAAGTTCTGTTCGCTTGCTTTTTTTGTTGATTTATTTTATGTGCATGTCTGTTTCAAAAGCATGTTTGTATGCACATTATTTATGTGCTTGGTGTCCATGGAGGACAGAGGAGGATGTCAGATCCCCAGGAGCTGGAGTTACAGATGATTCTGTGCCAGGGACCAGCCTCAGAAATTTCGGGGGTCCGAAAATTTGATACCTGGAAGGCGTAGTAACAACTCAGAGGTAGTACTCATGCAAGCTGACAGGTCACTTTGGGCTTCTGCAGTTGCTAAGTAGTTTTTTGCTACAGCTTCTGCTTTTGCCTTGGTAACCTCAGTCTTTTATTTTCATGAGCAAGGGGAAACAGAAAGAAAGGGGGAAACAACCCAATAAAAGTGTTCTCATGATTCCAAAGGTTACTCTTAAAAAATCACCAATATATTCTTCATCATCTTTGATTAAACACAAGAACTATCCCAGGCTTACCATCAAAGCAAGCATAATCTATTTTTACTATTAATGATTATACATTCTTCTGAGCACTTGACCCAGAGGCTAGCATCATACAATTTCACAACAAAGGTAAAAATGAGAACAATGGTTAATGTACCAGACAATCATTTTCTTCTCGCACAGCCTGCTCCAACCTCAAGACCCTTACAGCCGCCTAAGTTCCTCCTCAGCCCTCTGCAAACACCAAGCCCCATGACTGGTGGGCCACAATGACTTCAGATAAGAAAACTGTCCCTGTAAGTCAGCAACTTTTCTCCTCTTATCTCAACAGTTCCAAGGAAGACCTGATCCAATTTTCAGAGCTTCCATGAAAGGAAGCTCACCTTTCCTGGCAGTTCTTTTCAATCTAGGAACCCAATAAAACTTGAAGCAATCACTCCAACAATTGCCACATTGTCTCCACACTCCTTCAGGAGGAATCAAAATATTAGGATTAAAGTTGCCATCTCCCTTTCTTGGTGGAGGCCAACATTTTCCTCCTTTCCTAGGTCCCCATACTTCTAGTTTGTCATCCCATCTATATATTACTCCATCAAGTCTTCAGCCCACACCCCTTAGGGTCTCAAGTTTTACACAATGCCCTTGGAATATCCTCAGAAACTGAATCATTCATCACGGCCAATTTGAGTCCAGTGTGCTGATACACATTATACCATGTGCTATAGTTGACCACATGTTCGGTACAGTTTATCCAAGGCTGAAAATCTTCCCCAAGCTGCAGGTTCTTTCCCATGACCCGCATAACTGCCTTGACCCCAGCCTGGGCCATGAAATTTACTTCACTCCTTTCCTGTATTGCAAAAATCACCATTGATCTAGAAACACAGAACATGAAAATCAGATAGAAGAAAAAGACTAGTATTACAGGAAGTAACTATATGGAAGAGAACATGACATGTGCACACCATTAAAGCATGCCCGAGGGACATGTAGGCATTTCTGCCTTGGCCCTCTAGAGGCATTCTAAGCAGAAGATTCAGAGGAGAATGCACGGAGGAGGGTTGATGGTCCACAATCTTGGGTCCCTCATCTCTAACCTCTGCTGGCAGCACGTCGGACATCTTTACATGGATTGGGTATCAGGGTAATGACTGTAGCATCATTAAAAAATGGCAATGTTCCTTCTGTTTCTATTTTGTGGAATAATTTGAGGAGTATTAGCATCAACTCCTCTTTGGAAGTCTGGTATAATTCTGCCCTAAACCCTCTGGCTCTGGGCTTTTTTGGTTGTGAAACTTGTAATTATTGCTTCTATTTCCTTAGGGGTTACAGGTATATTTTAATTGTTCATGTAATCTTGACTTAATCTTTGTATGTGGTATCTATCAAGAAATTTGTCCATTTCTTTAGATTTCCCTGTTTTGTGGAGTACAGGTTGAACAGGTTGTTGAAGTATTACCTAATGATTCTCTAGATTTCCTCAGTGTCTATTGTTATGCCCCCTTTCATTCCTGATTTTGTTATTTTGGATATCCTCTCTCTCTCTCTTTTAATTGGTTTGGATAAGGGTGTGTCTATCTTGTTGATTTTCTAAAAGAACTAACTCTTTGTTTCATTGACTCTTTGTACTGTGCTCTTTGTTTCTATTTTACTGATTTTAGCCCTCAGTGTGATTATTTCCTGCCATCTAGTCCTCTTGGGGGTGTTTGCTTCTTTTTGTCCCCAAGCTTTCAGGTGTGCTGTTAAGTCACTAATGTGAGATCTCCCCAAATTCTTTATGTAGGCACTTAGTGCTATGAACTTTTTTCTTAACACTGTTTCTACTGTATCCCATAAGTTTCGGTATGTTATCCATTCATTTTTTGTTGAATTCTAGGAAGTCTTTAATTTCTTTCCTTATTTCTTCTTTGACCCAGTGGTAATTCAGTAGATAATAGTTCAGTTTCCATGAGTGTATAGGCTTTCTGTAGTTTGTGTTGTTGTTGAACTCCAATTTTTTTTTTCTGACACAGGGTTTCTCTGTGTAGCTTTGTGCCTTTCCTGGAACTCGCTTTGGAGACCAGGCTGGCCTCGAACTCACAGAGATCCGCCTGCCTCTGCCTCCTGAGTGCTGGGATTAAAGGCGTGAACTCCAACTTTAATGCATAGTGATCTGATAAGATACAAGGCATTTTTCCAGTTATTTATTTTTTTTTTAACTGTTGAGACTTACTTTTTTTTTTTTTTGGTTTTTTCGAGACAGGGTTTCTCTGTGTAGTTTTGCGCCTTTCCTGGAGCTCACTTGGTAGCCCAGGCTGGCCTCGAACTCACAGCGATCCGCCTGGCTCTGCCTCCCGAGTGCTGGGATTAAAGGCGTGCGCCACCACCGCCCGGCTGAGACTTGCTTTGTGGATGAGTATGTGATCAGTTTTGGAGAAGGTTCCATGAGGTGCTGAGAAGGTATATTCTTTGGTGTTTGGATGAAATGTGTTGTAGACATCTGTTAGGTCCATTTTAGTCATAATATCTGTTTGTTCCATTATTTCTCGGTTTAGTTTCTGTTTGGATGACGTATCCATTGGTGAGAGTGGGGTATTGAAGTTTCTCTCTATTAATGTGAGTGTTTGAAATGTGATCTAAGCTTTAATGTTTCTTTTGCAAATGTGGGTACACTTGTATTGGAGGCATAGATGTTTAAAATTGAAACATACTCTTGGTATATTTTTCCTTTGATAGGTACAAAATGCCCTTCTCCATCTCTTTTGATTAATTTTGGTTTGAAGTCTATTTTGTTAGATATTAGGACAGCTACACCTGTTGCAGGATATACAATCATACTGTGAGCCCTGAGTTTGCATTTGTGTTAATTAAATAAAATCAATCTTGAGTCAGGAGGTGGAGGCAGCCAAAGTGGGATACAGAAGTCTGGGACTATGTCAGGTTTATTAACGGATGAAAATCAATACAGCGCACTTACAAACAAAGTTGCACTGTTACCTCTTCATTCCAAGGGAGCACTGGAGTTCAAACTGAAAGCCACACTTCCCCACTGCTCTCTGCCTGCTCTGACCAGCCCAAAAGAGTGCAGGACCCTTCCCTGATGGTTCTTAACAGGTCATCTATCTTCAGAGAAGACCACATTCATTGGGTCAAACCATTCCATTCAATTGGCCATTGGACCAAATGTCAGAATTCTCACAACAACTAGTTGAGAGCAACTAGTTGAGAGAATGTGATCCTACAGAGTCAGAAGGAGTTTGGAAAAATCGATAGAGAGATGTACAGTAAGTAGTAGGGAGGGACTTTGATTGTGGCAGTACTTTTTTGTTTGGAGGTACAGAATAGACCTCCTTCTGAAAAGCTGGCCAAGAGTAAAGGTCAGCTCTCTGAGCTAGCATCCTCTCTGAGCTAGCAGGTTTTCATTTCAGCTTCTGACTGGTAAGTGGAATGATAGAGATTTAGTTAAAAACTGCACTTGGTGGCAGTGTCAGGAGGCAGGCCTGGTAGGACAGTCCCAGTTGACTGTCGCTTGAGAAGCAGGCCAGTAACTGTGGAGTCACAGCTACTGGCATAAAGAGTAGATTCAGATGCAGCCACTGTGCTGGTGGAAAAACAGCATACACCAGTTTGTCTTGGGTCCATTTGATTGGAAAATCTTTTCCATCCCTTTACTTTGAGGTAATTTCTGTCTGATGTTGAGGTATGTTTCTTATATGCAGCAGAAGGATGGATCCTGTTTTTTATTGTTGTTGGTGGTGCGTTTTTTTTGTATGCATTCTGTTAGCCTGTGTCTTTTTATTGATGAATTGAGTCCATTCCTACTAAGAGATTTTAATGACCAGTTACTGTTAATTCCTGTTATTTTGTCATTATTGTTGTTGGTAGTGGTAGTGGTGATGGTGGTGGTGTTGTGTGTGTATGTTTCCCTTCTTTGGGTTTTGTGGGTGTAGGGTTATCTATTGCCTTGTTTTTGTGGGTGTGGCTAACTTCCTTAGACTAGAGTTTTCCTTTGAGTACCTTCTGTAGGGCTGGACATATGGATAGATATTAAGTTTGACTTTTTCATGGAATGTCTTGTTTTGTCCAGCTATGGTGATAGAATGTTTTGTTTAGGAATTTGGGCTGGTATCCATAGTCTATTAGAGTCTTCAAGACATCTGTCCAGGCTCTTCTGGATTTTAGAGTCTCCATTTGAGAAGTCTGATGTAATTCTGATAAGTCTGTTTTTATATTACTTGACCTTTTTCCTTTGCAGCTTTTCATATTCTTCCTTTATTCTGTATACTTAGTGTTTTGATTATTATGTGGTGAGGTGAATTTTTTTCTGGTCCAGTCTATTTGGTGTTCTGTAAGCTTCTTGTACCTTTATAGGCATCTCCTTTAGGTTGAAAATTTTTTCTTCTATGATTTTGTTGATAATAATTCTGGGTCTTTGAGTTGGGATTCTTTTCCTTCCTCTATTCTTATTATTCTTAGGTTTGGCCCTTTCATAGTATCTCAGATTTCCTGGATGTTTTATTTAATGAATTTTTTTGATTTAACATTTTTCTTGACCAATGTATCTTTTTTCTCTATTGTATCTTCAATGCCTGAGATTCTCTCTTCCATCTCTTATATTCTGTTGACAATGTTTGCACCTGTAGTTCCTGTTTGCTTATCAAGATTTTCCATATTCTGAATTGCTTTCTTTATTCTTTCCATTTCAATTTTTATGTCTTGAATAATTTTCTTTTCTTTTCTTTCTTTCTTTCTTTCTTTCTTTCTTTCTTTCTTTCTTTCTTTCTTTCTTTCTTTCTTTTTTCTTTTTTTTTTAAGACAGGGTTTCTTTGTGTAGTTTTGCACCTTTCCTGAAACTCACTTTGTAGACTAGGCTAGCCTCGAACTCACAGAGATTCGCCTGCCTCTGCCTCCTGAGTGCTGGGATTAAAGGTGTGCGCCACTACTGCCTGGCTTGAATAGTTTTCTTCACCTGTTTGTTTTTTCTTGGCTTTCATGGCATTGTTTTTATTCATGCTTTTGTGTTTTTTTTTTAAAATTAAGTAATTTATTTTGTATATAGTGTTCTGCCCGCATGTATTTCTGAAGGCCATAAGAGGGCACCAGATCTCATTATAGATGGTTGTTAGCCACCATGTGGTTGTTGGGAATTGAACTCAGAATCTTTGGAAGAACAGCAGAACAGCCAGTGCTCTTAACCTCTGAGTCATCTCTCCAGCCCTCTTGGCATTCTTTAAGGGATTGATTTCGTCCAATTTTTTGTTTGTCTTTTCCTTGATTTCTTTAAAGGATTTTTTAACATTTTCTCTTTAAGGACCTC